AGGGACTTAAGTGAGAGTGAAAACACAAGGTAAGTTTAAAATAGGTCAGCAATTTCCCATCCTATAGGTTGCTAGATGTATCTAACCCTTTCTCCTGTCTCTCTCTCTCAGCACAAGAACCCCACAGGGATTCAATGGAGCCTGAAGACCTGCACTGAGACCCTCACCCTGCACCTGAGTCTCACCTCCCAGAGCTTTGCAAGCCTCTCCCTGTTCCTTATTTTTATTAAACAGACATTAAGCTTCCCAATGGTGTGGTCTTCGTTTTGTGAAAAATATGATTACCTCACATATGTTGTTGCTGTTGTTGTCTTTTGTGATAGTTAAATTGCTCCTGTTGACTTGAGCCAGCCATTCTTTCCTCCTCTCTGTGTCAGTGGGGAAACTTTACATTCATACTCCTTTCTCTGAGCGCTTGGAGCATCCCCAGGCAGCACAGCAAACCATGGGGGAGACGATATGCCAGGACAACACGGAGGAAAAGGCACAGACAAACTGCATGATATGCTATTCAATGTTTATTGAATTCCATTTATTTACATGGATGTTCCTAAAACAACACATGTATCATCATCATCATCATCATGTTGCTGCTGGTAGTCCTTTGATAGGCACCTGCCGGTCTCCTGTCCTTTCTGAAAGTCATAAAGATTACATTAGTACTTTAGATTACTTAGGTCCTCTATTACCAGGGGATTACTGAAACCACCATGAATTGTAGAAATGTATCTAATCAGAATTTGTAAACCTTCCTTCCCTCCCTCTAAATATATCAATAAACATTAGGATGTGATGCTCCTGACTACCATACAGGTTTAAGAAGATAATATTTGTTCTAAAGAATTCAAAGCAATAAACAACAGGCTCTTTAACCAAGGCAACGTTAGCCTAACATGTATGTTAACAGGTAAGATAGCTGTTCACACTGTATATTTTCTACGTTGTAATGCTATGTTATTTCTATTTAAGATGTTTACATTTTCGATTGTTTAATTATTGTCTTTTAACTGTCTAATGTACAATGCCTCCTTGTCTTTTGCTGCTGCAGCGTAAACATTTCCCCAATTGGTATCAATAAAGTAGGCTACTTCTTATTTTATCTTAATCCTCAAATATTAGCACATTTTAAAAAAAAAACACACATTGATGTAACTACACACATATCGATATGTTGTATAAATATTGCAAATCAAAACCTTTATTGACCACTAATTACCAACAATTGCATTTATATCCTGTTATTAATGCATTCAAATCGTGATTCAAATGGCCCGCCACGAACTTCCGGGAACTTTCTGAGTCTCTCTGAACCACGTGACGATCAAGCATTTTGGACTTCCGCTGTCGCAACTCTTCTCTCTACATGGCGCTGGACCAGCCAATCAGAATTGACCTTCTCGAGTTCTCCGATTGGTTGGTTTTGTGGCACATTTGTAACGCTGTGACAACTTGAGCGAGCGCAGGCAAAGCTGAGCGCGCGCAGGCTGGAGAGGTCGAGCGAGCGGGGGAGAGAGAGCGCGTGCAGCGGTCTGCTTGCGCACGCAGCAGGAGTTTTACGAGAGAAAATATATTTCTCTGTGCTCAAAACTGTTCAAGTGCGCGCTCAGGATAGAGGCACAAATATAACGCCATACTCGCGGGGGTTTAATCTGCGCGCCAGGGTCATTTTATGCGCGTGTAAAAGCACATTTTCCGCTCGTGAGTAGCTTGTTTTACGCGCGAGAATATTGACCCAAATCTGACTCCATACTAATGGTCTCAACCATATTGCGTCAGTAACGTGCACTTGTTGTTACAGCAGGATCAGTTTGTGTGTTATGGACACGACCGGTAGATTTTCGCAATCCGTGTTCTCAACATGCTTACTTTAACATACTTTTTCATGGTCGGGCTAAGGAAGGGCTAAGCCATTTCTTGGTATGGCTGTAGCCTACCCCAGCCATACCCTGGCGCCGCCACTGTATGAATGTGAGTATTAGGTCAACGTCATGTATTTTGGTGTCTGCAAAAGTAAGTGACAGCACTTCCACCTTTTCTGTAGAATGACCAGACCCGGGTACGATATTCACTCTTAATAGTTTGATCGGTGCTCTCTGTAAAGGCCGATCAGGAGAGCTGGATCTGATCGTTATGGACATAAACGCGAGTGAAGTATAACCGGACGCGAGAGAGATCAGATCAGCTGCTGAGTCTGACTGAGACACGCAGTTCTGCATGATCGCCTGAAGCTCCGCCCTCTGTTTAGCGAGCTGACCGGACTGCGCAAAATGCGTATATGAAGTGTCATGAACGCAAGAAATCATTCCCTCGTGGGGGCGCGCTCATGTGATTGGCTTAGAATGAAGGAGACATCTGATTGGCTATAGATAGAACAAATTACAAGTACGAATCGGCTGACCGTCAGGGGAGTCTCAAAAAACCCACACACGAATGCACAGCGATCCATGCACAGAAAGCGGTTTGTGTTTGCAGGTGCAGCGGTTTTAAACGGAAAACAAATATGTGAGGATCAAAAATACATATGTAAAACTTTTTTCTGTAATTGGATTTTATTTACATGTATATGAAACGGAACACATTTGTGTGTGCATTGAAAAACACAAGTGTGGATCCGGAAATACAAGTCTGAATCCTTTTGCGGATCATGAAACACAAGTGTGAATCCTTCGGTGTGCATGTGTGTATTATGAGACTGTTCTGAGCCCATAAGCCAGAGGTTCTGACTGCACGTGCACGGGTGGGTTTATATATACAGTCTATGGTTGCCATATGAATTCTTCCCAGCCTCTCTCTCTCGATAGACCTTTTAACTAGTTTACAGAGAGTTAATCAACATATTGGGGGAGATAATCTAAACAGCTGGGCCCACTGAATCACTTGCTTCTGACCCTTAATGTTGCTCTCCCTGAGGTTTCTCCCATGTTTTCCCCTTAAACTGTGGGGTTTTCTCTGGAAGTTTTTCCTTGTACGATGTGAGGGTCTAAGGATAGAGGGTGTCGTTTTTTTCATACTGATATTCTGAACAATCTGTGCTGTTGTATTTGCTGTAAAGTGTCTCTACTGTAGGCTATTTTTATTATATGTACAGCACTTTGGCTTGACCAAAAATCGTTTATAAATGTGCTATATAAATAAAACTTGATTTGATTTGACTTAATGGCCTCAAAGCCAGCGTTCTCACCCATAAACCATTTGTGACCCAGAGTTGACTGGTCATATACTGAGAAATATCAACATATGACTGCATTAGCACATTCCTTACGGGAGATAACAGAGCCGGGTTGGTCATAAACGTCAAAGGGCAAAAGGTTAAATATCTAGGAGTAAAGACAGAAATATTCCCTCACAGTTACTGATACAGGATATCAGGTGCAGATATTGGTTCAAATGTGAACTGTACCAACCCTGTAGCAGAGGAGAAGTTTGGACAGCAAACATGGTCGCGTGTGTGGATGTACAGTAAAGCAGACCCTGGAGCTCCATTCTATATTACCAAAAAATCCCTCTTCATATTGTTGTGTTTCCTAACCACTTATGCTGTGTCAGCCACTAACAGTTAAATTCTGACTAACAACATAAACAAATAGAGAGAACAGGTGGAAAAGGCTTCAAACTATATAACCACATTTGCTCCATGTTATCCACAAACTACCAATAAACACTGACAGAAAGCCCCAAAATGTAACATAAACAATCCCAACTGCATACGGGTTACAAACAAAAAGACAAATCCTTAAAAAAATTAAACACACAAAGCATACTGGTGGTGGTTTGGTGTCTTTGTTTGAAATGTAAGCAATAACAGGGAGAGGTTTTATGTGTGTCAGATTGTGTGTCCATTGCACATTCAGGAAATAATATACAACCTACCGTGTCAGAGTACCTTCATCTTTTCACTGGTGAAATACAAGCCTCTCAAGTTCAACAAAACCTACACCTACCCAAGCTGGGCTTATGCTCTGGGCTGGTCCCTCGGACTGCTCTGCGTTCTCCTGGTTCCTCTGTAGTTCTTCAAAGTTATCCAGATGAAAGGGACAATAGGGCAGGTATGTACTCAGCAGAGAAAGACAAATATTATCACAATGTTTGATGTTATCAAGGGCTTAAACAATATTTCCCTCAACAGAAGACGAATTGCATTTTTTTAAAATGTATTTATCATTTGAATTGTATTTCTAAATGAAAATTTGAATATTTACCAAGTCATTCATTATAAAACTTAGTATTTTTGTTTGCCTATATATACAGTCTATGGCCTAAACATGCATTGTAAGTGTTTACATTTAATGGTTGTGTGGTAACCCAGCTAGCTTTTAACAGTATTTAAAACACGTTATCATTGAACTTCTCTATTTTTATGGAACACTAATGCAAATAATGAATCTATGACTTGTTCCAATATAATGTACTGTCCTCCTAAGTCTTGAAATGTATTTTATGGTTAATAACTTTCAAAAGAAGCAGCAGTATATCAACAAGGCCCTCAAGGCATGCATGTCAAGTAGCTGCAGCTGCATGCATGTGCCAACCCAAATACTTAACATGACACTAATCGCAGCAGTAAGTGTGAGAAAATTAGAAAGGAGAGGTCAGGCTTTTATAAGTTGGCTCTCTTTGCATGTTTCACCGTGTCACATGCCCCTTTCACACCAACACGTTTTCAGCTCCGGCTCGGAGCTGGAGCCTGAAAAGTGCCGGTTTTTCCTGTTCACACCGCAGCGGCGCCGCCTCTTAACTCCGCAATCCGGTTCACTTCCAGCTCCAAATTTCTGACTGGTTTTTATTGTGGCCAGCCTAAGGCACACCTGTGCAATAATCATGCTGTCTAATCAGCATCTTGATATACAACAAATGTATCCTAGATCTTTTACATGTTTCTTTTATGTGACTCATGTTTGTTATGTAGCTGTCCTGTTGCATCTTCTGGATTGTTTCAAATAATACATTTTTATTACAAACACTATTTAAATGATAAACCTGCCTTTGTCTCATGTTGACAGGTAGTCTACTTCACAGCCACTTTTCCGTACCTGATGCTGGTGGTTTTGTTGGCTCGTGGACTCACTTTACCAGGAGCTATTGATGGCATTTCTTTCTACCTGTATCCAGACCCCAAAAGGTTGGTGGACCCTCAAGTAAGTAATTACTTCAAGTCATGATTAAACTTAAAGGTGGGGTAGGTAATTTTGGAGAAACCAGCTCGAGTGCACTAGAATTTGAAAATACACAGCCGGAAATCTATGGAATGCCATTTAAGCCAATATTAAATAAATAAATATATACATAAATAATTAAATAAATACATATATATGTAAATATGCCTATGAAATAAATTATTAAATAAATAAATTAGGCAATAAATATGTATACATGTACATTTAAATACACATTTATTTATTTCATGGGACTTTTATTTCATAATGACACATTTATTTATTTCAAGAGACTTGTATTTCATAAAGACACATTTATTTATTTCAAGAGACTTGTATTTCATAATGACACATTTGTTTATTTCAAGAGACTCGTATTTCATAATGACATATTTATTTATTTCAGATGACTTGTATTTCATAATGACGCGTTTCTTTATTTCAAGAGACTCGTATTTCATAATGGCTTATTTCATGTGACTTGTATTTCATGATGAGACATTTCCATTCCTTATATGCAAATGAACGGGGCGTGGTTAGCTCACAGGTCCAGAGACCCAGACCAAAGCAACAGCACCACACTGACTACTCGAGAAGAGGAAGAAAATGGAGGAGAAGGACTATAAGGCAAACTACTAAATTCTCAGAGTCAGACATCGCATGTAATCTGATACTCTAAATTTCACCCGCCAGAAATGTTCGCTTCTTCTTCTTCGGTGTAAATTGTCCGTTGGCAAACCAGTTGACTTCTTCTTCTCTCGGTTTTTTGGCGGATTGCAAACAACTTTAAGGTGCATACCGCCACCTACTGTACTTGAGTGTGAATCATCATATCATTCCATCTCGTAACTCATGGACGTATCTATGATCTAATCCAAAAATAAATAAATTAGGGCTGTCAAACGATTACAAATTTTAATCAGATTAATCACAGCTTAAAAATGAATTAATCATGATTCATCACCATTCGAACTATGTCCAAAATATGTCATTTCTTTATGTATATTGTTGTGGGAATGGAAAGATAAATGAAAGAAGGCGGATATATCCATTTAACATGTTTATTGTAAAAAAATTATGTGTGTCAAAATGAAAGAGAGCACCTATCAATCATCAAACCGTGGGGTCTTAATTCATTACGTATTGATTTCTATCTTACTTAGAAACTTCAGGAAAGTCGACGGGGGGCGCTAGTGGAGTGGAGTACTTCGTGACCACAGAGTGTGAACGTTGTGATCAGCTGTTTTAGCGCAGTTCTCCAGTGAAGGGAGGAGTCTCCCTCCGCAGCCGGTTGGCGTAGTTTTGGCACAATTCCGTTGTACAGACCGACGTTAACAGCAGCCCTGTCTGTGCACACGGAGACCGACTCTGTCGTCCGGTGATCTAACCGCCTTCTGGAAAAGCTTCACAAGTACGTCGGTACGCAAATGCGCTTTGTGACACAAGTGACGGTACGCATTTCAGATTACGCACATAACCTGCGTACCAGTTATGTGTTACCTGTACTACAGCTAAAGTATTCTCCGTCGGGACTTCCTGCAACAACACCACGCCGTTATCTTGATTCTGATTGGCCAGAAGACATTATCAAAGATGTTCTATTGGGAAGACGATCACTACGTGACAAAAGTTTTCAAAACAGTTTCTGGTCTTCCGTATTTCCAGACAAGTGGCTGCTGAAATCAATCTTACTTACTGCTGTCTGTGCAATTTACTCCGCGCGAGTTGGCGGACTTTATTTTGCTTACTTTAATATCATTTTTCATGGTGGGGCTAAGCCATTTCTTGGTATGGGTGTAGCCTAACCCAGCCATACCCTGTCTTTATAAATATGTGTCTGCTAGCATACCAGCAGACCAGCATTTATCTATCACCAGCTTATGTTAGTATTAAATATACAATGTATTCTGGTAACTATCAAAATAAAGACATTGTATAGTGTTCATAACAGTATTTTTATTTAATAAATTATACTTAATACAATAATATTACAAAAAAAACCTACATCTAAATAAATATATCATCTAAAAAAGATGCATTTGATTTAAAAATAACAAATATAATTCAAAATGTAAACAGTTGTTACATATCCATTATCTTCTCTGTTATGTATCTTCCGGTCTTTGCCAATCTGGCCAGCATTTCTTGGTCCTCCACGTCTTTCTCGTGCAGCCACTGCTTGAAGCAAACTGAAAATAAGAAACAACAATGTTTTAACAATTCTTATTCAATTATGTGATGATAGAACTGCAAACAGAATAGCTGTAACTTTAACAAAATAAATAACTCAGTTACCTCTAATCATTAACCCATGTTTGTATCATTGAGTTAACTCTGTGTGTTGCTGCTAGCATACATAATATATACCTGACGTGGAAACGTTACTCGTGGATGGGGCTACAGAGCTACTAGAAAGACAGTCGAACCCGGTGCATTCCTCCGTCTGAATGTGGAGCACTTTTGCTAAATGTTTAGACAAATAGCTTGTGTTACCGCCCTTACATGCTAAATTCTTATTGCACTATTGGCAACGAGCATTTTCCACCTCAAGACAAAGCCCCCAGGAAGTGTGCCGGACTCTGAGGAAAATATTCGTTGTGTCCAAACGGCGGTACTACAATTTCCTTATCAGTCTGTGACGTCGACCGGCCCAGAAATACTTTTTCCCATTGACTAACATTGGGAAAGAGACATCTGTAACTCGGTGGATAATTTTTTTGAAACTAAATAAACTACCCAGTATGAACTATTGTATAGCCCTAGAATCATTAAGTTCTTAAAGTTGTAAAATGCACTAAAAGCCGAATCTAGATTTATTCTCTCTCTCCATTCTTTCTAGTGAGCCGAGAGTGTGTGCTCGGGGGGCGGGGCTTAAGGGGCGCATGCTCTGTGAGCGCACAAACGGGTTATTCTGCTCTGACAGCCAGGCATGACGGGTAATCTGTGACGTTTCGCTCTCTCAAAAGTTGGGCCATTTTGACTTCATGCGCCAATGAGCAGCTCTCATAGGAAAGAACGAGGCCCCTCCTCCGATGCTGTATCCAGTTCTTATTAAACATCCATGCCCAGTTCTTATTAAACATCCATGCTCAAGACGGGTAACATAACTACCCTCGGGGCGCTTAGTTCTCTCCGCCATGTGTGTGTGTGTGTGTGTGTGTGTGTGTGTGTGTGTGTGTGTGTGTGTGTGTGTGTGTGTGTGTGTGTGTGTTGCATGCATGTAGCAGGTTCTGTGTGTAAACTGCCCCACCCCCTCACACACCGACAGGGGAGAGAGATCTCGTCTGGATTGGAAAGATCGAAAATAAATCATAGACGCACTTTGTAGTCTTATTGCATATTAGAAACGGAGTTGCAGTAAGACTGCGATATAATGTTTATGTAGATATAATACATATGACATCTATTTTTTAAATGTCTCCCGTAACGATAAAAAGATTGATAACATTGGACGTTAACGGTACCACGGTCTTTAATAATTCGGCCCCGTTAATACTGGGGCTCGGTACCCATCCCTAGTTTTAATTATTACATCATCAATATTACATTTCAAATAACCAAGTACTTGGTTACCAACACAAAGCGCAAGTGGCTAGTGCTGCTAAGAACATACCTGGTGATGGTGATGATGGTGGCTCTTCGCTGCAGGATCTGGTCGATGTCCTCCTAGCAGAAGCGATTGCCTTCGTCGTTCTCGTCCATGATGGCGGCGTAGGCTCCTTTCCTCAGCAGGTCCTCGATCTCCTTCTTGGATAACTGCTGGACCGGCTAAAGGCGACGCAGAGAGACATTTACACAAGTGGATTTAGAAAACTCTTTTTGAAAATAAACTAAGCGTACTGCAACAGCGACTGACCCAAAAATGACTTGGCATCTAGAAATATGACAGATTTTCTTTTTCTCACCCCGTTGTTGTTGCCACTCATGCTCTGCAGGACGGGACGGTCCAGCCCGAGCTTCAGACTAGCTTTATCCAGCATTTCCCTCTCATAGTTTCTAGTGATCAGACGGTACACCTCCACCGCCTTAGACTGGCCAAAACGATGACGAACCGAGCTTGAGCCTGAAATAAAAAATTAAAAGAGGGGTCAAAAGAGCATCATGTGCAGCTGCTGTTCAACGTTTTTAAGCATTAAATGGGAAAATAATATACACTTAAAGAACCGAGGGAATAAACGGAAAGATTGTTGTTGTTGTAGCCTTATTGAACTATCTTTAGGACGGACAGAGCAGATATATATATATATATATATATTGTACCTGCAGGTCATTTTGAGGGTTCCAGTCAGAGTGGAATATCACACAGGTGTCTGCAGCAGTGAGGTTCACAAGCTCTTGATCAGGTGTTTGATGTGGGCTGGCATGATCCTTTCTGCAGCGATGAATAAAGAAAACAAAGAAGACATTATTAATAATAGTAACAACAATAATATTAGTATAACTATTTATATAGCACTTACACAATAATTGCAAAGTGATTCTCACAACAAAAATAAAGAACAAAACAATAAAAAAACTAATTATTATAGGAATGTTAAAATACAAATAAATGATAAACATTCTGAGAGGCTGACTACAAAAGGTAGACTCAGACCCCGGCCACACGAGGACGAAAACGGCTAAACGCATAGGATTAACGCAAACGCAAACAAGCTTCCGTCCACACGCAATAGTTATCCGGATAGTGTCTACCCACACGAGACCGCTCCGTTTAGCTCCAACCGCTGGAGAAGCTGCAGTACATATGCAGGAGCCTGTACGTGGCGCTGTAACTTCCTCCACAAAAGCAGCGAAGAAGCATGGTTGTCATGGTTGCCCTTCTGTTTATTCTCCGCGGTGGGGGCCGAGGGAACCGGGCAGAGTTTTTCGCCAGTCAACGTGTATTAAAGTTTAAACCTTCCGACAAAATTATAAAAGTGCCGGTCAAAGGTCTTCTTTGTTATTTATTGAGCTTTAAAACAAATGAATAACGACTCTATATAATATAATAATAAAAATACACGGAGCCTCTCTTTTTCCTCCCTCTCTTCGGACAGCGTCAGTGTCTGTTTCATGCAGCAGCTGATCCAGTAATGAGTGCCCCGGCCGACAGTAAAAATAAACATATTTATAACTAGTTTAGGTAGTTTGAGAGGTGTCTCCGTCCTGTCAGATTAGACTTCACTCGCGTTTATGTCCATATCGAGAGAAAGATAAATAATCTGAATTCAGTGTGCAGTTTACTTTGACGCGGGGGTGAGCAGCAGAGGTGAGCAGCAGAGGTGGGGAGAGGCGGGGCTATTGCGCAATCATTATCAGAAAATGATCGCTGAAGCTGCAGTACATATCCACAAAAGCAGCGAGTAAGATCCCCCCCGGATGTGTAAGTCTGCTGTAGATGTTGCACAAAGAACTGTAGCATGGTCAGTAGCGTCCGGAGCACGATAGCAACTCTGCGATACGCCATTGTTGTTGTTGTTGGTGGCGAAACACATCAGCAATGGCGCGGAGTACGCGGAGGTGAGCAGCAGAGGTGGGGAGAGGCGGGGCTATTGCGCAATCATTATCAGAAAATGATCGTATAGGGCGCACACACGGAGCTGTTTGACCCCCCAGAGCGTTGCGTATGCCGTTCTATCCACCTTGGGACCCGTTATCGTTTCCTCAGTCGTTTAGTGCCGTATGCGGTTGTCCTCGTGTGGCCGAATGGTCTATATGACCCTAAACAGTAACACAAACGGCCGTTTTTGTCCTCGTGTGGCTGCAGCCTCAATGGCTCTTGATGACATCAATGAGCAGTCCCAAAACATGCTGCTGTATAAAAAGAAATAGGTCCAGATTTCTTCTATTTAGTGTTGGATGATTTGTTGTATTGATTGCTGATGGTTGTTAAGATATGTTTTACAATTATAACAAAAAGATTATTGTAATTGGAATCAAAAAGTTTACAAATCGTAGTTTTAATAAAATGACTAGCAATATAGGATTTATTCAACAGCGGTAAAGTATTAATTTACTAAATTAACGTACACTGAACTGTAAAACTTACCACTATTTAGGAAAGGACCTGATCAGAAGGATTGACTAGTAAGACAGCAAAGAGGCGGAGGAGGTCTCTGTCATGTACAACCATTGGTAGATGTTACACCTGAAAGAAAGATAAGGAAATAAGACAACACAGGAGGACAAACATCTTCTTAAGTAAAAGACCAAATCATGTCAAGCTTTAACTTGAGGCTGTTTTTTCAGTCTTTACAATGCACAGTTGGAAATTACATTCCAAAAGCTAAATTCAAACTCAACACCATAAATAACTGGGTACCAAAGTGCTTTACCTGATAGGACACGTTCCACACGGAACAGCAACCATCCGGCTGGGCCGTATGCTGCATATCATCTCCTCCCTCTCCACTGTTTCCAGTAGATCTCTACTGCCTGTCCAATAAAACTGAAATGCCCCAAAACAATCATATTTCAAAAGTTAAAAACAATAACTTGCTTTTGGCATTCAAATGTATTATAATCTCACCTTTTTCCTGGATGTCAGGAAGGCGTTCCCTTCAAGTCCGCAACCAGTCATAGGAGTTCAAATGCAAAGCCTGAAAGATGACAAGAGCGGGAGACTTACATGTTACAAGATAAGTAATACCAGAGCAGTGTTTAGGACATGCAGAGAACAGATCAAATCCCCTGACAGGCTCACACACTTTGGTGATGTCCTCATCTGATAATGATGTTTCATTTTTAGCAGCAAAGTAACATTACTCAAGGTATATGTTGGACCCAACTCATGTACAGTATGTTTTGCATCTCCTCAACAATGGTCTGTATAGTTGAGTAGAAACAAACTGTCCCTACAGTTTCAGGTAGATTAACAAAGAAAAGTTTGCAATGAAGCACAAAACCCCTCTTTGTATTAAGCTAGCTGCCACAAAAAGTACAGCTTAACATGCTAACCTGGTGGAGTTAGCTAACGTTAGCTAACTTCATGTCCAACACAAAACTTCTAACGTGCATTACATTGACGATTTTAAACACAACTTAACTCTCTCAACTTGTAAAATAACGTTAATTTAACATACCCTTAAATAACTACATCACGTTTTTCAGGGGCAACAGAAACTGCAGAAAACGTTAGCTGCTAACTGTTGTTAGCTAAGACAGCTAGCTCGTAACGATAGCCTCCTAGCAAACGTAAGGTTACGTTAACATTAACTTAACGTTGTAAGAAAGCAAAACGAACCTTCGAGACATATTTTACTCTCAGACTGGGTGTAATTGTGTAGCGTTGCTTACCTCCAGAAGGACTTTTAGATGTTTCCCAGTAGAGACTAGAGAGAGCTGTCAGAGCGGTTGCTCTCAGAAGAGCAGCATTGGGCGGACCAGATAAGACCAGATAAGAACCAGTTAAGTCTTGGAGCCCACCGACGTCTTCCATGTTGTTATTTTCATTTAGTAGTTTGCCTTATAGTCCTTCTCCTCCATTTTCTTCCTCTTCTCGAGTAGTCAGTGTGGTACTGTTGCTTTGGTCTGGGTCTCTGGACCTGTGAGCTAACCACGCCCCGTCATTTGCATATAAGGAATGGAAATGTCTCATCATGAAATACAAGTCACATGAAATAAGCCATTATGAAATACGAGTCTCTTGAAATAAAGAAACGCGTCATTATGAAATACAAGTCATCTGAAATAAATAAATATGTCATTATGAAATACGAGTCTCTTGAAATAAATAAATGTGTCATTATGAAATACAAGTCTCTTGAAATAAATAAATGTGTCATTATGAAATACAAGTCTCTTGAAATAAATAAATGTGTCATTATGAAATAAAAGTCCAATGAAATAAATAAATGTGTATTTAAATGTACATGTATACATATTTATTGCCTAATTTATTTATTTTATAATTTATTTCATAGGCATATTTATATATATATGTATTTATTTAATTATTTATGTATATATTTATTTATTTAATATTGGCTTAAATGGCATTCCATAAAATCCGGCCATCCAGTTATTTTAGCCGGGCCGGCTAAAATGATTGGTCGTGCTTTTTACAGTACTACGGCTTCCACAGATGAAATATTTGTATGGATTTTTTGTCAAAGCACTTAAGATATTCATTGCTATCCGGATGTTAAGAGCATTCCATGGAATATAACAAAAAGTGTATCTCAAGCCGGTTTCTCAAACTCACCTACCCCACCTTTAAGGAAAGCTCAGTGGCCTCCCACAAATACTTTAAAGTACTTCAATCTCACAACTTGTGCTTCCGCTTTTACAGGTTTGGATGGATGCAGGTGCACAAGTTCTTTTCTCTTTTGGGATTTGTCAGGGGAGTTTGACAGCTCTAGGCAGTTACAATCAGTATAACAATGATTGTTACAAGTAAGTGCTCTCTGTGTTTCTGCTGCTTGTTTTTTTTTTTAACGTATCACTAATATGAGGCCTGAGATTGTAGCAGTTATATTTCCTTTTTTGTGAAACCTACTATCATGACCTAAAAACGTCTGCTACATTGACATAACATTGACTTTAACTAAATGTATTATGTCAGCAAACTACACATAATTGTATTAGGTTAGGTGAAAGCAATAACATTAAGTTTAAATCGAAATATAAGGTTAAACTTAATACAATTCAACTAACCTAATACAATTATGTTATCATTTGTTTATATAATAGAGTTAATTAAAGTCAACGTTTCAGTTTTTTCAGTAAGTGTAGACAGGTGATTTGTAATGCTGGCATACCTTTGGTTTGAAGAAATATAAGTCATCTCGGTAAACCGATTACATTTCACTCCTGTATATTAATGCATTTGAATATCTGTTATATTATCGCACAAAGACAGAATAATTTTCTTCCCAAACAATATTTATTGTCTTAGCTCGCTATTGATTTTTAGATCATGCTCTATTGTTTTCTTCTCATTGTGACACTATGTCACAATTCCATTCATTATAAAACAGAAAACTAAATTACCAAAGAGTCAATCATTATCTAAATACTTTTTTGTTTTGTTGTTTTTCCCAGGGACACGTTTGTTCTGTGTTTGGTGAACGGCGCGTCAAGCTTTGTGGCAGGGTTTGCAATCTTTTCAGTTTTGGGCTTCATGTCCTACGAACAAGGAGTGCCAATATCTGAAGTGGCAGCTTCTGGTAAGATCCCCAATACAGCACCTCTGTTACAGTACATTACATTACCATCTAAAATGAGTTATATAGACAGGGTTGAGATCTAAGTGGTTGTTTGTGAAGACATTTGGAACATATGGATGCTTTTTTCATCATTTTTCCTCACATCTGAGTTTGCTGTAATTAACAAAATACCAAAATCAGCAGGAAATAGCGGTCCACACTCCACAATTGGAGGCTTGAAGAAAATAGTAACTGATCATATTTTATCTTCTGTGTGATTACACAATAGGATGAATATTGTCTATGTAAAATTATTCTTAATTTATTCACAATTCCTCTCTTTGTTCTCAATTACAGGACCCGGCTTGGCATTTATTGCTTATCCACGTGCAATGGCCATGATGCCGTTCCCTCAGCTGTGGTCTATATGTTTCTTCGTCATGGTTATCTTGTTGGGCGCAGACACACAGGTGAGATAGTTTTAAATCCTCTAATTCATTTTATTATTAAAACAGTTGTTGGTTGCAGCTTTTTGTGTGCTCTGTGTCTCTAGTTTGTGAGTCTGGAGTGCCTGATGACCTCCGTGACAGACATGTTCCCCACCGTGTTTCGAAGAGCTTACCGTCGAGAGTTGTTGCTGCTTTGTCTCTGCACCATTTGCTTCTTTCTCGGCCTCCTCCTCGTGACAGAGGTGAGAACTTGTGTCTGGGGTGTGTTCACAATGAATAAAAGTGGAAAGAAATGGGCGAAATGAAACTCTCCTGGACCAGTAGCACACTGACTTGGATCAGTCATATATATTTAATCAGAGAAACATGTTTGGCATCTGAACATTAAGCTTGATAAGTTATTTTTGTGCTTAATGTGCGTTAACAATCCACCTTCTGTCTTCCTGCAGGGAGGCTTATATTTCCTTCAACTTTTTGACCATTACGTTTGTAGTGGCAGCAATCTTCTTCTTCTTTCAGTGTTTCAGTCAATAGCAATCGGATGGATATATGGTGAGTCATTATGATTATCCTGACTAAATCAAACAAAACAACAGATGTTGTTTTATGTCCATTTAAATGATCTTCTACCTAATTATAGTATGTCTGAAAACATGGTGTCGCTTTTCATTATGACTCGGTAAATTAAAGTAAAGTAAAAAAAAAACATTTGAATGAAAAACAAAAATAAATGTGGTATGTTTTTCCGTTTCGTAATGTTTTATTCTTTGGTTAGTGATTATTTTGGACCGGTCTACCCAACCAGAGCAATGTACCTGGACTTGTTTCTAACTGGAGAGACATGAGCTGTGTGAAGGCTGGCACCTTCAGCTGTTGAGCACTGCACTAAGGGGTTGATTTAGGAAAGGATGGTGTCTTGGACATTGCTAACTGAAACGGCTTACACCACATGGTGTGGTATCTACATTTGAAGGACCGGTTGCAAAAAATTATCAAATTTCCCTCTAAATGATTTGAAGTAGTGGGCTAAAGGAGATAGTTTTCTTCTCTCATTTAAAATCAACCTCTTTTTGGAGAGGCAGTTCGTCGCAATCAGACCTTTAGTTTTGCTTAGTGTCAAAAAGGATGTTTTCCCTGCATCTGAAGGGTTAGGATATGTCAAAGGTTGGATTTGGATAATCTATCCTCCTCATTTCCTCTCATCTCTCCACTATTGCAATCTAATAAAGGCATACAAACTCACCCAAAAAGTCTCAAAGAAAAATTTGTGTGATAGAAAGTGTTGTTAGTTCAATATTTAAAAAAACACAACACTTACAAATCCATAATAAATATATATATACATTAATCAAGTATATGTAGTCTTTGTTGGGTTGTAGCAGCTGAAACACTGGCCTGGTATCTTATCACAGATATACTAGCATTTATTTTTTTGATAAGAAATGGTATAACGTAAAAATGAGGTGTGGTGCTTTTCAGTGGATTTACTAGATTTAGTCAACATTTACGTTCCTTTGTTCTCCCTACATTCAGCTTTCACTCCTTGGTAATCTTATTTAAGCTTGATGGGCATTAGATCCCCCTGAGGAGGGGCGTTTGATTTCTTTGGCCCTCTTGAATGAATACAAAAGATGTAAGAGAGCTCAATACATTCACTCTAGAAAAACAAGTCCTTCACACTGCCTCCTTGTCAACAGTGATTTAAATGCTTCCTCAGAGTTGTTTGGATAAATGTGAGAAAATATATATGTAGTGCCCCCTATAGTAGGATAAATATTAGAAATGAAACATTAGCACCCACAATACTTACTCTTAAATCCCACCGGTGTCCATTTACGCACATACCTGGTGTGAAATCAAAGGAGTTATCAGCATAGCACATCAATTCATGTTACATCATGTATATGTTTATGTTCATTTGTTATGTACAGAGTTCAAGTTTAATATCTTAATATTTCCCTTTTGATAACCAGGTGCAGATCGTTTTTATGACAACATCGAGGACATGGTAGGCTATCGTCCGTGGCCAATAATGAAGTATTGCTGGCTTTACATTACCCCGACTATTTGCATGGTGAGTGAAAATGTTGCTTTGATTCCCATCTAAAGTAAAATATGTGTCCTATAATGCATCTATGCATAGTATACATGGCAAAGTGAATGAGCATTTTCTGTGATTAAGGCAGTAAACAATAGTTTTTTTTTTTTGTTGTTGTCTTTTTGGTCTTTAACATCATATTGAATGATTAAATGTATTAGTGGGTTTGGGTTACCATCGGTCTTTGAATTAAAGAAAGTTTCCTGAGAATTGAATTCAGACATACAGGCTACATTTGAGAGGTCTGAGTTTGGGTGGATAGGAATACTCTTTTCTTCTAGGCTGAGAAAACAGTTGTTCGATAGAAATGTATTGCCTACTGTGAGGTAAAACAGAGAGGAAAGAAGGTAGAGAAGCATATGGCTGCTGCTGTGCTTATGGTATATAAAACAGGAAACCTGATAAGTTCACATGTTGACATTTAGCAGAACAAATATTGGGCTTTTTATATATATTTTTTTTCTGATGCACCTCTACATCAAACTACCTCTGAACCAAAAATATGGTGGAGGGAATGAAATGTGTACCTTACTTGAGTATTACATATGAATATATCGTTTTAAAAGTTGGAAGATTGGGGAATTCAAAGACAAATGGCAGACATTTTATCAAAGCCTGATGAACCCAGTGTCCTCAGTGGGCGACAGACAACATGACCCCTCTCACAGCCGCCACTCTCCTGAAAACTCGAGTGTCAGAAAGGTCAGGTTCTGAAGTCGGGTAATAAGACTTGGCTCGTGTCTCAATTCTTTCCGGAGATATTTTAAAGGGTCGGGGTCAGGGTCCGGTTCCACAGGGATGTTTTTAGACCAGGTATAAAGTGTCAGGTCAGTTTTGCTCTTAGATCTGCAAGTTACAAAGATTCACTTGAATAATAACAGAATCAGACATTTCAACTTAAGATTTCCATCCTCATATTATGGGACAAAAAACATGACTGAAAGTGAAAACTGATGTTTCTTTTGCTATATGCACATAATTAAACTCTCAGCAGTGTAGCCTTCTTGCATATATAAACAAAACAACATATAAGCGACCTTGGGTCCCTTGAAAGGCGCTATATAAATCCAAGCTATTAATTATATTATTATTATTATTATAAGGAAATAACATCAGGTTGTTTACCCTAATCAGCTACCAAACAACATTGGAGTCATCATTTGACATCATGCAGAACACATTCTTTTATAGGGTAGTATGCATTATTTAAAATAAATACAGTCTAATAAACTTGAAAACACTTCCATGTTCCAATGAGAAAATGTTTGATTACCTATACGTCACTGTCGAAGTAAAAGTTTGTAAATTTCACTGAAACTGTATAAAAATAATAATATTAATTGAATTATTTTTATTTGTATCGTGTCAGAGTACCTTCATCTTTTCACTGGTGAAATACAAGCCTCTCAAGTTCAACAAAACCTACACCTACCCAAGCTGGGCTTATGCTCTGGGCTGGTCCCTCGGACTGCTCTGCGTTCTCCTGGTTCCTCTGTGGATGTTCTTCAAAGTTATCCAGATGAAAGGGACAATAGGGCAGGTATGTACTCAGCAGAGAAAGACAAATATTATCACAATGTTTGATGTTATCAAGGGCTTAAACAATATTTGCCTCAACAGAAGACGAATTGCAATTTAAAAAAAATGTATTTATCATTTGAATTGTATTTCTAAATGAAAATTTGAATATTTACCAAGTCATTCATTATAAAACTTAGTATTTTTGTTTGCCTATATATACAGTCTATGGCCTAAACATGCATTGTAAGTGTTTACATTTAATGGTTGTGTGGTAACCCAGCTAGCTTTTAACAGTATTTAAAGGTGACATGTCATGCATTTCCGGTTATTACCCGTCCCCTTGTGTGTTATGAAGGTTTTTATGCATGTAAATGGTGTGCAGAGTCAAAAACCTCAAAGTACACCATGGAGCGAGTAAAACTCTAAAACAGAAAATAGCTCCCCAAAACGCCTCGTTGGAGATACGTCACTGTCCATTTGATTCTTCCGGGTACATCATGATGTCGGAACGAAATGGACCAATCCGTGGAGCCGTTACGTTACGTTAAGCCCCCGCTGATTGGTCCAAATTGACCAATCCACGGACTTCCTCACACACTCAGTGCAAGCAGCTCTGCTGATTTCTCCTCCCGGGCTGCAGGCTGATAACAGACAGTTGGGATCGCGGCGAAATTCTCTCTGCAGACCCATTCTCACAGCGTTTATCAACCTTTTTCTTACTCAATATCAAGCCACACTTATTGTTTTTACTTCGGCTGTGACTTTGTGTGTGCTCAGGGTGAGTTTGGCTGTGTTTCGCTGTGTATCGCTAAACAAGGAAATAACACCTCCACGGAGCTCAGCGCAATTCACAACGTCCCGACTGGTCCCGACCAATCGGAGCACACTGGGCTCCCAGGGAGGGGGGGGGGCAAGAGCTGCAACGAGCCGTTTAGTGGAGAGAGTGAATACTGCTGAATACACATACTTTACAGAGATGCTGTATGCGAAACCAATGTGAGTTTGGAAAATTGAACAATGTAAATCTATTCTAGTAGACCTCAACAATGGAATTATGATCAGTGGAAATGGCCATGACATGTGACCTTTAAAACATGTTATCGTTGAACTTCTCTATTTTTATGGAACACTAATGCAAATAATGAATCTATTACTTGTTCCAATATAATGTACTGTCCTCCTAAGTCTTGAAATGTCTTTTATGGTTAATAACTTTCAAAAGAAGCAGCAACAAGGCCCTCAAGGCATGCATGTCAAGTAGCTGCAGCTGCATGCATGTGCCAACCCAAATACTTAACATGACACTAATCGCAGCAGTAAGTGTGAGAAAATTAGAAAGGAGAGGTCAGGCTTTTATAAGTTGGCTCTCTTTGCATGTTTCAGCGTGTCACATGCCCCTTTCACACCAACGCGTTTTCAGCTCCGGCTCGGAGCTGGAGCCTGAAAAGTGCCGGTTTTTCCTGTTCACACCGCAGCGGCGCCGCCTCTTAGCTCCGGAATCCGGTTCACTTCCAGCTCCAAATTTCTGACTGGTTTTTATTGTGGCCAGCCTTAAGGCACACCTGTGCAATAATCATGGTGTCTAATCAGCATCTTGATATGCCACACCTGTGAGGTGGGATGGATTATCTCGGCAAAGGAGAAGTGCTCACTATCACAGATTTTTTCAGATTTGTGAACAATATTTGAGAGAAATGGTTATTTTGTGTATATAGAAAATGTTTTAGATCTTTGAGTTCATCTCATGAAAAATGGGAGCAAAAACTAAAGTGTTGCATTTATATTTTTGTTCAGTGTACTAGTTTTAGGCATATATTATAGGTCTTAGATATATAAAAAACATGTCTATGAAGTGTTTTGCTCAAAATACCAAACAGATCACCCATTCTAGCCTCATAGCCCTCTATGTCAGCCTGTTACTAAAGTGCTGATTCTGGGTCAGTAGCTTCAAACATTCACACTTCAACATAAGGCATGTTATGAGTTAAGATTAAGCAATAAGGTTGAGGGAATATGATACAACCTTGAGAACAAAATAGGCCCAGGCCACGCCAACCAAGCACAATCCTGTAACCACACCTCCAGAACCCAACCGACTCATTTATGGTTTAAATAACTCTACCTGTACAGGCTTGCATCTATCTTGTAGTCCAATACTAACTGCACAATATTTACTGACACTGAGCGGTGAACATATAACACTGTGCAGACGTGCAACATTCTACTGCAGTAGAATTCACTATTTTATATAACACTAACATTCCTGACAATAGACCTCAATAGTCATTTTTTATTGGTGTACATGCCTTTTTAATAACATTTTTGAATGGAACATTCAAAAATCTAAATAAATATAACTTAAATATACATGACCTCTTAAATTAAAATTAAGTGAACATTAACACCAATATTATCATTTATAAAATGCTAAAACAAAAAAAATAACATAAGCAGCAGATTTTTTAATTAAATATACATACCAACTACAAAATAAGCGGGTATTAAAGTGTAAACGGACAACAAAATGGAAATGTAAATGAAAAGGCCTGTTCTCAGTCATTTTCTCATCATGCATCTTCGGTGTAGTGTGATCCAATATCGTTACCATAGCCTTGCCCTTTAACAGTTATTATGAGCCCTGGCTCAGCCTTACTCACCAAGAGCCCAGCGCCTAGCCTTCTTACAGGCAAAGTCACTGATCAAGTCCTTGAAGTCCAGCTTTCTAGCCAACTGGCTTTCAATGGACAGCATGGCAAGACTGCAAAGCCTTATGGGGGGACAGGGCTGCGGAGCCTAAAGATGGATCTGTTGGTCCTGGCACCAGGGGAGGGACAACTGATTTAGTATGAATAGCTGCTAAAAATGTACCTGCATTTATTAAATGTCAACTAAAAGAGGAGTGAAATGAAAAACCTCAGAGTTTTCTGTGAAGATATTAACTTTGACAAAAAATCCATAAAAAAACGTCATCTGTGGAAGCCATGGCGCTGTAAAAAGCACGACCAATCATTTTAGCCGGCCCGGCTAAAATAACTGGATGGCCTACCTGCCTGTCAGCCTTCCATCTGTGCACAAACTTATCTCGTGCCCTCATTGGTCATGTGCGCGTTCGTGTGTGTTGGAGGAGGGGCTCTGTAAGGAAGTGGCAGATTTTTTCCGGTTGTGTATTTTCAAATTCTAGCGCACTCGAGCTGGTTTCTCCAAAATGTCCACCACTCATAAGTAAGTTTAGTGAGTACATTATCAATATGACTTTATATTAATGTTAATTATTGATGATTGATGAAAGGTTACTTAAACATTTTTTCTTAATGTTCTAAAAATGTTTGGGGCCCCTGTCAGTCACGGGCCCTTAGAATCGTCATAACTGTTCACCCCCTTACGGCGCCCCTGGCCTGAACAAGTAAAGACCTACTACCACTAAATTATACTGGTTGGGTCAGGGGAATGAGATAATCAGTTGCTTCCTACTGTAAACATGCAATAAAAAGTCACAGCATCCTCAAAGTACTGCAACTCATCCCTTAAAGGTCACCTATTATGCAAAATGCACTTTTTGATGTCTTTTATACATAAATATGTGTCCCCGGTGTGTAACGAGACTCACAAAGTGTCAGAAAATACAATCTTCTCTCTTTTCCTCCTCACCCACATCTCTAAAAACGGGGGTGCAACGGAGCTGATCCAGACTTGCTGAGAACTTGACATCATTACTAAAATGTTGGCTGGCTTTACATTAAACGCCCCGTCCCTCGACCCCATATACAGTCGGCTAGCTGAATCCCCTCCCGCAGCTGTGTGTCTGTGTATTCAGCAGGATGTCTACGAGAGTGACTTAAGTCTTAGAGTACAGTTGTTATATAATACATACAATGGCACTGTTCTAGCGGTAAACGCTGAATAAAGAACTGTCCTTGTGGTAAACCCGCGAGAGAGAAAGCGTTTGAGCGATACTGTTTCAGAAATAATGCTTGATGTGGTTCGGAACATAATATGGCGTTTAATCACGGCAAGGCCGGATTAGTACCTCCACAAGCCCCTGGGCACTGAGAGCTCAGGACCCCTCAACCCACGTACCAGCACGTAACAACACGCCTACCCAACATGACCAATGTTTTACAATTTCATTCAATCTGGCATGACAATCGCACATCTATTTGTCAAAAGCAGGGACGCAGATACATAGTTCAACCAAAGTAGGTCTAGCCTTTTGCCCTTTCAGTCAAAAATCACAAGACAAGGATACAATGGATAAGATCTCAAGACAGTGTATGGCTCAAGAAGACCTAGGTAATATCACTCAAAACCTCAGAACAGCACCCCACTTCAAATGCCAAAATATGACTGGCTGGCTGTACAAGTACACGAGGAGGTCTATTTGTCACCAACATCGAGAATTACAAAAGTAAAACATGTATTGAAAGTATGTGGTTGCTCAACTAAGTGATCAGTATATGTGATAGAACATGGGTTCCCAACCTTTATTGTGCCAAGGACCGGCAGATACATTAAAAAAAGATCGCGGGCCGGTTGTCAATTTTAACTGATTTTAATATTTACTCACCAGCAAGTAGCAACAGAGGCTAATTGTATGTAACAGCCTGAACAAATAATAGAACAATATGCATCCAAAACATATTAACGTTTAAAAAAGAGTCGTTTTTTCGGAAAAACGGAAAACCAAAAAACCGACGTTATTCAGTTTTTAAACCAAAACGGGAAAACAGATAAATCAACGTTTTGGTTTTGTTTGTATGATATACGGATAATCCAGTGATGGGAAAACGAGGTGAAGGCGCATTATGAAGGAGGTGTGTGTGTGTGTGTGTGTGTGTGTGTGTGTGTGTGTGTGTGTGTGTGTGTGTGTGTGTGTGTGTGTGTGTGTGTGTGTGTGTGTGTGTGTGTGTGTGTGTGTGTGTGTGTGTGTGTGTGTGTGTGTGTGTGTGTGTGTGTGTGTGTGTGTGTGTGTGTGGTTGTGTGTGTGTGTGTGTGTGTGTGTGTGTGTGTGTGTGTGTGTGT